GTGTGTGTGTGTGTGTGTGTGTGTGTGTGTGTGTGTGTGTGTGGGCGTGCGCACGTATGTTTTGTCGCTAAAGGCAACTCTGCAAAGGAAGGGTCTCAAAAAGACGCAAACGAATGGTCTCTGTGGCAGAATGTTTCGTGGGACTTTCACCAACTCATTGCGGAGGTTGGACCCCCGGTAGTCTGCAGAGGATGCTGTTGACTGATGGATAATGTCTTGTGGACTTTCACCGCTTGCCCAAAGTAATACCATTGAGAAAAGTGGTCAAGTCTGCTCACACCAACCATGCAATCCTAGCAGACTATCTGGTCCAAACCCCTGGCAACAGCGGCAGTAAGTTCAGGAAACTTAACTTCATCTCCCACCCAAGGAAGGAGGGAACTGGATTTCCTCCTTTCTTGACATGACTGCTACTGCAGTCCTGACCGTGACATAGACGCACTGGAACGAGGGTAGTGGAAGCTTTGTCCATCACAGCCATAGCACCCACTCTAATCACCGGATAACCACTGACATGACCACTACTACAGTCCTGACCGTGGATGCATCAGTCCTCCTCAACAGAGAGCTAGCAAGGCTATGCGCACGCGTGTGTGTGTCTGTAAGAGAGAGAGAGAGAGAGAGAGAGAGAGAGAGAGAGAGAGAGAGAGAGAGAGAGAGAGAGAGAGAGAGAGAGAGAGAGAGAGAGAGTTGAGAAGTGATGGGAAGGAGTGGATGGTGCCAGGCACCATAGCTGTGTGTGTGTAAGAGAGAGAGAGAGAGAGAGAGAGAGAGAGAGAGAGAGTCCACCACTCTGGGAATTATGTCAACCAGAGCTACATTGTTCTGCAAATCATATCCGAAATTGCTGCATTTTCTATCCTTTGGTAGAAAACTTGACTTCAGCCCCCAAGGACTGCATTTTCTTTTTTTTCTTTTTTTAACAAAAACAACTATGCTATATTCTTCTCTCAAATCTTTCATCATCGTTCGAATTCTTTCAATTCACCTTCACTACCTATCTAGCACAACTCCTAAGCCTTTATTCGGTTTTCCCCTCAGGTTAATTGATTGAAGCAGTGTTGATGTTCGTGTTTTTTTTCTTTTGGGAAAATTGTTGAAATACCCCTGAAAGTTTGGGTATTTCTTCAGATACCCCTAAAACACAGGGGTATGCTGAAATGCCCCAAACTTCTGCATCTGCCCCTGTCCCGGTCAACGGCAACTTTGCCATATGCCCTGGCCTTGGGCTGCAGGGGGGACCTGTGCATTTCTTTTCCCATCTGCAGGGTCCAACGGCCAGAAATACAGGGGCATATAGACAAGTTGGACAGGGCCCGGTGGGGGTATATGCAAGAGATGACAGGTCCAAGTGGCGAGTGGGGTATTTCGCAAAGTTTCACTACTGTCATAGGGGCATTTCGACATACCCATGCCTTTTAGGGGCATCTGACGAAATACCCCAACTTTCAGGGTCATTTCAGCAATTTCCCCTTCTCTTTTCTCCTTGTTTCCTTTTTATTTTCTTGAACTGGGTGCTTTCTTTTTTTTTTCTTTTTTTCTTTTTTTCTTTTTTTTAACTGGGTGCTTTCCTCCTTTTCGTTTTTGTTTTTTCTTTTTTCTTTTTCCGAGATTTTGAAGTGGGTGCTTGGTTTTTAGAGAATCATTTGCACAAAGGGAATTAAGGGGTTTTTTTAGGGCTTCCGTACTGCAGATGGAAATTGAACAGTCACAAAGCCCTTGTGATAGCCCAGGAGCAGCCGTCTCACACCTGAGGTGATTCATGATCAGCCGTGAACATGATGAATCTGCACAGCCGATAGTTAATCGGCTGGCATGTGAGCCAACCCTAATGGCACTAAGCCAGCACATCGTCCAGGTCTAGGCAGTGGGAAAGGCATGGATTTCAACTGTGCGAGGAAATCATGAGTACAACAGAGGGTGAGACAATTAAACCGCCAGTACACGGCCCCAACCTTGTGGAAAATTGTTTGTCACCTACTCCAAAAATTCCGGCCTCCAGACACGGGTGTACTGGTGGTTTGAGAGAGAGAGAGAGAGAGAGAGAGAGAGAGAGAGAGAGAGAGAGAGAGAGGACACTTGAAATGGGACTAGATGGAGTGGCTGTGCTTGAGGTTGCGTACGTTGAATGCTCAAGGAATCCCAGAGCAAACATACATACCATCCCGGAGGCTACTAAACGATCTTTGAAAAATGGCCTCGCCACACTGCTGTTGAAACGAACAAAGTACGAATGCATCTTCCCGAAGAGAATGGCAAGATGCATCCGTTATTATGAATAGCAACGGATGTATGTTACCACTTTCTGCAGAAGAGGCATGCGTCCTTTTTTCGTTTTGACAGTGCTGGGGCAAGGCCCAAAGAAGCTTCTCTCTTTCTTCCCCCTTTCCCTTTAACTGTTTCTCTCTTGAAAGGAGACAAAGGCAATCGAAAGGACAAGTCTATGCTACGCTTTTTGGACCGCATTTGGATGGTTTTTTCCCCCTTTCTGAGTTTTCTCCCCTTTTTTCCTTTCACAAATTTTCAGCCTCTGAATAGTTGAAATTTGTGGCAAATTGGCTGTCAAGCAAATGCAGGTGAAATAACTGGCAAAATTGAAAATTCTGTGCTTTTTTTTGTGGATAATAAGTATTAATAACCAGCAAAATTGTGTGCAAGCTAGGGAGGTATCCTGGGCGCCGGGGTCCCAATGTCGGATTGGCGACCGGGTGACCAGCCGGGCATGACCTCCGGGCATGGCCCCGGGCAGCCTCAGCGCAAAAAAAAAAAAAATCAAATCCAAAAGAATCTGAAAAAAAAATATGTTGTGTAGAATTGCAATTCAAACAACTTTTGGCTGAGGGTCACATCAGAATTCCTCACAGAACTAAAGATAAAAAAGAAAATAACCATATCACACTAAGGCACCCCCCTTTAAACCCCTTCAGCCCCTTTAAAATTCATTTACACTCCCCTTTCCCCCCATTGACAGCCAACACTCCAAAAAAGAAAAGAGCCCGGATTTGGACTCCTCTTGGAGAGCACGGAAAAAAAAAAAAACCGCCATTTTTATTTTTATTTTTATTTTTATTTTTCATTTTGTATTTTTTTTTTGCCATGACTGGGTCACCCGGGCGTCATGCCCGGGTGACCGGCCGGCCATAAAAATCTTCCTAGTGTGCAAGTGCATTGTGTGGCTAAAAGTCATCTGCAAGTGCACTAGGAAGTGCATTGTAATGGTCATAAAACAATCTTTCTATTGTCTATGACAGCATACTAATGCTTTCTTCCAAAACTTGCAGATTTTTTTATGACCATCACAATATTTTAGAGGAAACCATCGCACATCCTGTATACTGGGAATTGATTATTTTCTACACACATCGCACAATAAAACCAAGGGTACGCTAATTATGTTTGGGTCCTTTGGGACTCTTCATTCATTTACATTATTGTGATATTTATGAATTATTTATTATCCTATAATATTATATATTATGTGTAGAGAAGATGTTTATGGATCTATATTGTCACATAGCTAATATGTATCAATGTCATAATAAGATCTATTTGCAAATCTATAGTCTTTACATATAGACAAGCGGAAAGAAAAGACGACGAAACTTGGCCCTATGTTGGGAAATAAATGCTCAATCACGAGCCAAGGGGCAAGAAAAGACGACTCAACTGGGCCCTCGACCACCACCAACAACGACAACAATATCATCATAACATTATTATTATTATTATTATTAATGAACAAAAGAACCTGTGCCCAAGAGTCAACTGGACGTTTGTACAAATTGTAGCATAGCGGACCTGCAACTCGAGGAGTCAAAGGGAGCCTGCTTGCAATGAATTCACAAATTCACAGCTTGACCTACATTTGCCCTGATCGTGGCGATTCAGGGCTTCCGTCTGCCTCCATCCCACTTCTTCACATTCTGCCACTCCGCCTCTCCCATTTCTAGTTGTATGTGTTCTTCATTGGGATTGTCAAACCATCAGTACCCTCCACGTCCTAAGGCCGTTAACGCGGTGATTCCGGTAAACAAAATGGCCTGCCGCTTTGGGTGTCCGCGCGTAAACAAAATGGCCTCCACGTCCCAAATTCATTCGAGTCAAGAGGGGGGTCTAAGAATGCAGTAGGTACTGGTGGTTGAAACCACCAGTTCACCAGAACCCAAAGTTGTGGCCTTGCCAGTATACGCATGAAAACTGTTCCGCTTCGGGTCTCCGCACGTAGCGAAACCGGCAGGCCACTTTGAAAAGCTGCAGTTGCAGGTTCGCAAGTTGCAGTTGCAGGTTCGCAAGTCTAGGAAGTTGGGTTCGTCAACCTAGGCTCATGTGCACTGGCGGTTAAAGCACAAGTACATCCAGCTATCGGCCGCGGGCATCCGTCAGAATCCAGTAGGCCACGTAAGCGACTTTTTTTTAACGACGACGCACCCGCACTGTCTTTTTCGGAAGAGACGAGTTTCTTTTCAGCAAGGCTGGGGCCGTGTACAGCAGTTAAAAGGGAATGATTGTATTGCCTATACTGTGAAAATGATGGCTTTGCCATAGAAAGCCTTATCCTGCCACCTGCAACCCCCCCTTTCTTTCAAGGGGGGGAGGGAAAGAAAAGAAAAAGAAGTTAAAGAACTGATTGAATGCTGTTGCACAATCTGCTGCGTGCTTCAACTTTGGTACTCATTGCCAAGATTTTGCCAGCATCAGAAAGGGACTTCAAGAAGCAAAGCCTCTCGACCGTACACCTGTAGGGAGGCACATTTGTTGTACCCCCCTCACAACCCAAGTTTCAAAATGGTGTCATGCCCCTGCCAGTTGAATAGAATTAATTCTTAAGCACAAATGTTTTTTTCGCAGTGGCACAGCGACAAAAATCATTGCATTCATTCCATTCTTTCTTATATACCGGGCTAGCTTTTCTGATATTTGACATGGTGATTCCATCAGGAGGCAAGACGCCGTGCAGAGGAAGAGAGACTAGCTGAACTCCGGAGGGTACGTTTCTCTCTCTCTCTCTCTCTCTCTCACACACACACACACACACACACACACACACACACACACACACAGCAGACTCAAGTTGGTATCCCAAGCGGAGAGGAAAACAAAATAGAGGTGAGGAGAGGAAGATGAGGCGACAAATAAAAAGGAGCTTTCAGCATTGGCAAACTGTCAGGTCCAGGAATGATTTTATCGCCAGGAGAGGATTTGAACACCTGACCGCTTTATGAACAACAGTCAGATGTTGCATAGCCAACGAAGGCCTCTAGCGAGCCTCCGCTGCAGAGTTGGAAACAAGCATTCAAGATTTGAATGAACGACTGTGCCAATCCAGTATTTGAAGCACTGACCTGCCTATCAACAGCTACATGTGCATATTCTTCAGAACTCAATCTCATTACAAAGCAACACAAAAAAGGAGGAAGGGAGGGAGGAGAAGAAGAAAGAAGGGGAAGCAAGAGGGGGATATGGTACACTCACCTGCCACGCTGGCATCTACATGTCACAAGCTATGGACATTGGCACAACGGGGGATGGTTAACAATACAAGATCTGTCATTCCATTTGAAATTCCGACTTTGAATGCTCCTTCCCCCACACCCAGCTCTTTGTCCCATACTGCCCCCCACCTCTTTGCCCCATACCCGCCAGATGCAGTGGGAGCCAGTAAGGACCCCGAGCTACCCACAAAAAAAAAGATCCAACATGGGCCATGAATCTTGAAGATTGACTACCCACATTGGGCCTTCTTCCGATCCGAGCCTAGGTTGCATCCCCTCTCCTCTACTCTTTCCCATGCCAACCAGATCCATTGGTTGGTAGTAAAACCTCCAGCTTGCAAAGAAACAAGCTCAAAGTGGCCCAGTCATCATCCATCTTGATGACCTACGGCGCATGTTGGGCCTTTTCCCCCATTGCTACCGTCTTCGCCCAAATAGAACGCCCAGTCATTATAGCTGTTTTTGGTGCAACTTTCAGTCCAGATATGGCAAAAATGACTGGGCGTTCTATTCAGGTGAAGACGGAAGTCGTTTTCCCACGCTGCCAGATTTAGTAGGGGCAGGTGAGCAAAAACAAATATCAGCCCCCAATCATCAACACAACATCAATGGTCCACGCTTGGCCCTTTTCCCCTCCCGTCCTAGGACGGGACCAAGCCTCCAAGTGGGGGTGGCCTCCCTCATCTGCCCACACACCAACACCAGGCTGCAAATTCCTCTTACGTATTCAAAGCCATCGAGCCAGGCATCAACCAACCCGGACAACTACCATTTTCTTTTTTTTTTCCTAATATATAAAAAAAGGTCCATGCCGTGGTAGAGGGGGGATGGTAGGCCTCGGGAGGTGTCTGTCGTCGTACTCAACCAGCGAGGGGATTGGATGGCTTGTGACAACCCCAAGGACAGTCTTCCTCCAGGGGGTGTCATTCGTGACCTGTTATATCCTGATCTTATCGCACGTCCAGCCCTACAGCGGGGCGACCCACACCTCTTGCCATTTTCACCGGGATGCAACACTCGATCACTACAGCTGTATTTGGTGCGAGTCTCCATACAGCGGTACGGCCAGGCGTTCTATTCGGGTGAAGACGGTAGTGTTCAGCATAATAATCCAGAAATGCCAGGAGGGTCCTTGATATCCGGGAAATTAGCATATAGAGATGAACCCGGAGATGAACCCAGGTCATGGCAGGAGGAACCAGCAGTCAAGTTTTCGAAAGCACAACAGCAGTCAGCAACAGCAATCAGCAACAGCTTCAACTAAAGAATATGTTGCAATTGGCCCTCCTTTTACATCTTGCAATCTTCCAGTGAGCCCATGAATTCACACTGCTTCTCACACCACAAGGAGTTCACCCTTCATCACACCAAACTCCACACACGAGATGCAAATCAACATGAGATGATAGCACTTCAGAATTGTGCGGATATGCAAAGCCTTATACAGAATCTCCTGAATACACACTTGGGCCGTAGTCGCTCAAACAGTGGCACCAGGTACGACTCTCTCTCTCTCTCTCTCTCTCTCTCTCTCTCTCTCTCTCTCTCTCTCTCTCTCTCACACACACACACACACACACACACACACACACACACACACACACATGCACACA